CAATATATTAGATATTTTAGAAATTGCCTTTGAATAGTCTTGGCATGCCATGAAAAACGGAAAATTAGGGAGATGTAATAATTCATTTGCCATATTTGAATAAAAATTAAATTTGCCCCTCTTATTTTGTGACCAGTAGACCTGCAAGTATTAAACTAACCAGTATTCATGTGTGGAGATTATTATAAACTATGCTAATTGAGAAGTACCAGGTGATACATAGCTTGGTACTTTTTTGTCAAAGAATTATTTGCTTTTTGAAGAAGCACTTTCTAATGGGTAACCAGAAAAGGGCTTCACCCATTTGCTTTCGACTTCTATGATAGTCTACTGCATATGATCCCTTTAAGTGTCTTTAAAAAAATGACTTATGAATTCGATAGCATTTGGAAAAAAATGCCTTAATGATCTTAACAATTTGTAAATCTTCAGGATCAGATGGAATTTTGCTCCTAGAACTTTTGTCTTCAGAGTATCTAGTTAAGATAAATTAGGCCTTTGACTATTACAGGTATTCATAAATATTACTTTAGCCATTTAAGTTAAAATAAATGGCTTAAACTTTAATATATTTATTTATCCCATTACTTTTTTTCTAATTTTATATGAAATGTGAAAAGTCTTTATTTTGGTTTACTTTGGGCTGCTATCCACCAGTGTTAGGAATTAATGTAGAGACCCTCTTATTGGGAATGTCATAGCAACTGCCTACATTTTCTTTGCTATATTACTTGCTTATAGGTTGTCAATCCATTTTATTTGAATTTGAAAATCTATCTAGGTTTCCAGATTAAATTTCTGCCTTTCACATATAGAGTTTAATTTTAATGAATGTTTAATTAGAGTAGCCTTCTCTTTTGTTCTACTCTGAACAAATAGTAATTTTACTCCAAGTACTTTTCATGAAGAGGGCTTTGAAAATTAAAGGAATTTTTATTATAATGGTAACTTATGAGTAAAAATAAGTTACTTTGCCTTATTTCATTAGTTATTTTATTTTGTACTATGCTGGTAAACTGATTGTGGTTTAGAATAGTTTTATGTTCACTCCAAATAACTGAGAAGCAGAACTAGTTTTCTGTACATTCCTAAATGGATAAACCTCATAATTCAATAAACTAGTAAATTAAGCAACTTAACTGATTCCATAAATCTTGTTAAAACATTCTAAAATTCTGTAAATAATTTAATGTGAATACTGTTAAACAGAAAATAATTGCTTATAAAAGTCTAACTTCAGCCAGTTACCAAGTCTTGGGCAAATTTTATCTTCGACCTATAGTTTTTACTAGCCTTTTCTAACCATAATAGTGAGTGATAATTACTTTATAGTGTTGTTAGAAATACTTGAATGCCAAATTTTATCTTTTAAGAAAGTTTATTTTTAACATCATTTTTTAGTATGGAGAGTTTGTAAATAATGTAAAGTTTGTAAACTTGTATTTAATATACCAATGTTTTTAATTACTGCTTTTATAACATTGTAAAATACTAGAAACATGGGCTTCAAGTTTTTTAATAGCTTTCAGAAAGTTTGTGCATTTTTTTTTCTATTTGGTTAAGATGTGAGTTGGAAATGTATTATTGGAAACATTTAAACTAATTTTTATATTTAACAGCAGTTTCAGAGATTTGTCTTTTCAACTCAGTTGAGTTGTAGACATCAAATAGAAATGTTTTGCCTCTTTTAAGTACTGTCCAGTTGAAACCTCCTGAACCATGTAATGTACTGCTACACAAACTAGAAACTGACCATTTAATGTTGTCAACACTCCAAATACAAATATATATATATACTAATCATTTTATTACATGTAAAATTTTTACATCTAGGGTGCCTATTTATTTTTACAGATGTTTTCATCTGGTTATAAGCTTATTATAACTTTGTAAATAATTCAGCCAACAATTATAATGTTTAAAATACTTACCTTCAGAATGTTATATTTTCATGTGAAATCAATTTCTTCTAGTTCAAAAAAAATTTAAGATAAACTGATTTTTAAGTTTATATGATTCGGCTTCTCTTTGCATTCATGAACTGTGTGTCACCCTCCCCTAATGTGGATTATTATGGGACTTGTTAAGTCAAGGGTACTTGGAATTTCTCTGATCATAAAACGTATCTATCACAGGAGGGCCTAAGAGTTAAACTCCAGCAAGGTCTAAAGCACAGCCCCTTAGAAAAGGAGTTGGCAAATTTTCTATAAAGATAGAAGATAATTTAGGCCTTGTGGACCATAATATTTCTGTTAACAACTACTCAACTCTGTAGTGTGAAAGCAGCCATAAACAATATGTAAATGAATGGGCATGGATGTTTTCCAGTAAAACTTTGTCAACACTGAAATCCAGATTGCATATATCTTTCACGTCCTGAAAGTCTTTTTTCCCCTCAATTTAAAATGTAAAAACTATTCTTGGCTCACAGGCTGAAGTCTCCAAATGTACTCCCATTGCCACTTATGGACTGAGTATTTGCAGCTCTTTACATCCTAAAACATTCAAGTTAAGCCCCCTAAAAACTATCCCTTGCAACTGCTAATAAGCCAATTCATTTCAAAAGAAACTACTAAAATAATCATTTCATTTTATATAAAATTGTGTGAAATTTACAGAAGAATTTATCAGAGTAGCCACATTGATTTTCTTTTGATATCTTTTTTTTTTTTTTGTCCTGTTATCTTAGCAAGTTTGCAACTTTTCTTGGTGTTCCATTTATCCACTTCTTAAAAGCCTTCAAAGTGTGGGCAATGTAAGCAGTCACTACTTGAAATGGCACAGTTTAACGGTAGGTACAATTTCTTACCATCTGTAGGAAAGATTCAACCTTCATACTGCCATCATTTTAAAAATACTATTTACAGTCATGTCATATTACTAAGTCAGGATTCTCTATAGAAAGAGAATCAACAGAATATATATAGACATATAGAAAGAAATTTATTTTGAGGGATTGGCTCGTGATTATAGAGGCTGAGAAGTCCCACAGTCTGCTGTCTGCAAACAGTAGGCCCAGGAAAGCTAATAGTGTAGTTCTAGCCCAAACCCAAAGGTCTGAGAACCAGGGGCCCTGGTCTGTGTATGAGAGCCAGAGAATCAGGAGAACCAATGTCCAAGGATAGAACATGGATGTCCCAGTTCAAGCAGAGAGAAGAGAGAATTGCCCTTCCTCTGCCTTTTTATTCCAGCCAGGACCTGAAGGGATTGGATGACACCCACCCACAGTGGAGTGAGTGGCTCTTTTTTATTCAGTCTACTGATTCAAATGCTAATCTCTTCTAGAAACACTTTCATGGACAAACCCAGAAATCTGAGCATCTCCTAGGATAATCAAGATGACATGTAAAATAAACCTTCACACCAAGATCTCTCCATCTTCACTATACCAGAAATTTTCAGAATATCTGATAGTTGTGGTTGTTGGCTGATTTTAGGCTCAAAAAGGTAATATGAATTATGATTGGAAGTCTGTGTGTGACCTAACAGTAAACTATGTAAGAAACACACACACACACACACACACACACACACACGTTAATTACCTCACAATCTCACCACCAGTTGTTTGTTACAATAAAACCAGCTATATAAGTAAACATTTATTAGACAAAACCATTAGCAAGCAGTGCAGAAACAGTTCATACAATCAATTTGGTACTCAGTGAAAAATCCCAGTTCTGTGTGCCTATAGCTGTTTCAACCATATCTTCCATAAATTGTTCTCTTTAGGTTGATGCAACAAAACCCTCAAGGCATAATTGCTAACTTTATAGTCAGCATCAGGCAATTAAAAATCTCCAAAATCAATTCCAGACTTTTCTGAAAGGTAGGAAGATACACAGAGAATTTACCAGATCTTATACCCTGTTTAGAAGGGAGGGAAATATCCCTAAAATATTTAAGACAGTTCACATATACTGAATGCAAGTAATTTCAACAAGAGCCCACTTCTACCATTCCTCATGTAAAGCCTTTAGGGCTAACAGAAATATTTTCTTTTTGAGACAAGGTCTCACTCTGGTGCCCAGATTTGAGTGCAGGGCCCCATCTCGGCTCACTGCAACCTCCACCTCCCACCTTCAAGAAATTCTCGTGCCTCACCATCCCAAGTAGTTGAGACTATAGGTGTGTGCCAACAGGCCCAGCTAATATTTTTGTATTTTTTAGTAGAGACAGGGTTTCACCAGGTTGGCCAGGCTGGTCTCAAAACTCTTGACCTCAAGTGGCCAACTGCCCTTGGCCTCCCAAAGTGCTGGGATTATAGGTGTAAGCCACTGTACCCAGCCAACATTTTCTATTAGTTACTACAGCTTAGAGTAGCTGCTATGGGATTGTGGCCTTTTTGATTAAATACTAGCTGATCAACCCTTGAATGTAAATTCTTGTTTTATAACATTTAGATTTAAATAACAATAAGCTCCATGGAGTCAAGAATCCCTTTTTGTTTTGTTCACTGCTGTGTCTAAGATAATGCCTGGCTCAAATATTTGTTGAATGGGTAAATATGCTGACTTTGCTGAAGTATTTAAGCAAGTCACAGACATTATAAAAATAAAGGTTTTGGCCACAAGCATACTTAATGCAAGTAAATCAAAATGATTTATTAACAGTAATAAAAAATAGGTTTGAAACACATAGGAGGCTCAAGAGTTTAAAAGGGAAAAAGGGGGAGATACCCAGGTAAGAGGACATGCATGCTAGCTTTCCAATACTTTCACACTACCTATTTTTTCTAAGACTGTATCAACCTGTTGCCCATAACCTATCTTTTCAAAACAGAGTTCAACGAAACCTAAAAATTTAAAATGGAACTTAGAGGCAGTAAATACACCGGGGGCCTACATTTTCCATATATCTTATTTTTATACAGCCTCTGTGCAATCTAAGAATACTTTGTTCCTTCTCTCAAAATCTTTCCCTGCTTTTGAATAATTTACTTTTGAATTCATATAAACCTTCGCTTATGAGTCGCCATATTCCTTGCATATTAAATCCTGAACAACTCTTAAAACATTAAGACATTACTATATTTCTTAATTAATACACAAAACCTTTAAGTACAAATGTTTTTCTATTCAGCCCCTGTAAAGCCATCGGATGTCTGAAACGTTTTTAAACATGAACCAAAAGGTTTAATTTTAACAACTTAGTGAGGAATGGGTGAAATCCTACCAATTTAATAGAGTTCTGCAAATTAGTAACAAAGTGTAAAATGAAAGGAAGGGTCCCTTGGAGATTTGAAATTCTTCTGTTGAAAGTCCTGTCTTCTTTATTCAAGACATTTGTAGCCATTTTCAGAATTCACTCAAGAACGAACTTCTTAATATGGGTATCACCAAATGAGTCTGTAAAAAGCAAGTATTTGTCAGCAATATTTGCTTTATGTTCCCAGTTTAACACTTTATGCCTACTTCAGAAAATCTTGTTTTCACCACTTGTCTATTCCTAAATGATTTATATATTGATTTAAAAAGAGCCTGGAACATTTCAGGTAAGGCCTCCATTTTCTATCCAGAGCTGAAAACTCAGGTCATAAACACACACACCACACACACACACACCCCCCACTGTATTTGAGATCAGTCTCCACCAAAATAAGGAGGGAGAGTGAAACTCCCTTTACAAATGGTTTGACAGAATTTTATAAAAATCCCTATCCCTTTAGCCATCCTCCCCATTCATCCCTCTGCCTCCCCTGCCCACTGCCCCCGACTTTGTTTGAGACAGGGTTTTGTTTTGTCACCCAGACTGGAGTATAGTGGTGTATTCACAGCTCACTGATGCCTTGACTTCCCCAACTGAAGCAATCCTCCTGTTTCAGCCTCCCAAGTAGCTGGGACTACAGGCGTGAGCCACTGTGCCTCGCCCTGTCTTCTCTTACTACACCAAGTAATCATACAGTGAGGCCTAAGACTCCCAAATCTTTGTGAAAATATAGGGATGGGGGATGAGGGTTGGGCATAAGTGACTGTCTATCAAGAAGTGAGAATTTCAGAAGTAACTCACGGTGACTAATGAGTTAACTTACAGTGAGTGAACAATCAATTCCAAAGTCCAATAGAGCTGTCTAGATGGGCTACACTGCTTTTCTCCCATAGGCGCTCTCTTTCATCTCACTGCTTCTCCTTATCACCATCTCCACCTGGTATCTGTTTCCTCTGCCCTATTCTGTAAGTTCCCTTCCTTTACCCTCTGCCAGAATTGTCTTTTCAGAATGAGTAACGATGAAAATGGAGAGCATGGGTTTTACAAGTGAACTCTACAGAATTTTGTGACTTGGTGTTTTAGGATACGTGGATGTGTGTAATAAAAAGCCAAAAGTGTCTCGGGTTTCTGGGAGGTAACGTTGGATAAAGTTGACCTTTACTGAAATGAGAACACTGAAAGGCAAGTAAATTCGGGTAAGAAGCTGTTAAGAGTTCAGTTACGGACATGTTAAGTTTGAGACAGCTGCGTGGTCTGCTCATGGTCAAACAGCTGTATAGTAACAATAGCTTTCATTGGGCAGTTACAACTGTCAGGCAACACGCAAATCACTACGATCTCAATCTTCACTACACCCCTATGACCTGGTGAGTACCGGCCCCAAATGACTGATGAAAAAATAAAACTCCAAAAAGCGAAATAACTTCTCCGGTTGCTTCATGGTGCTGCAGGAACTCAAGCCTATCTGGTTCCATTCCAAATCATGAGAAAATATGACGCCAAGTTTTCTCCACACTTCTTTGGAGACTCCCATGGACGTGCCAAGGAAGGACATTTCACTCCTAGTCCTCCTCCCCCACCCACCCGACTGCGCCACTCACCAGCTGTGTGATCTTGGACATATTCATTCTTCTCCCCGCCCAAAATAGAGCAAGAATTACCACTCCAATTCTGCATTCAAGATACTCACCATGGCAAAAAATACACGAAGAGAAATACCACCGCGTCGAAAAGGATGAAGAGCCAGAGGTCCAACCAGTAGGAGTGTTTAGGAAGCCCGTTTGTCCCGGACTGAGGCCGCACATCGAGGTTCTGCCTCCCTGCCTCGCTCTGGCCTCGCCGCTCCCGGGGACCGTCTCGACCATCACCAGCCGGTGCGTCCACCTCCATCTCGCTCCTGCAGCTTCGTAACAACCCTAAAACCTGAAAATGTCTCGGTTCCCGGACTTTGGTGTTCGCCGCACCGGAAACTAAGCTGAGTCCCACCGCCCGCGCAGTCCGCCGCGCCCCAGCTTCCGGAATGCCCTCGGAGCTTACGCATCCCAGCGCGCAGGCGTCTGGTCCGGCTTTCCGCTGCCTACGTGACCACCGGCCTGAAGCGCGGCCTCAGCCCGGACGCTGTATTGATGGGCCCGCCCACTTCTACCTCGCGGCCTCCCAAGCTGGAAGCTGGTTGTTCAGGTTTCGCTGGAAGTAATACACTTTCCTTCCACTGAAAGGCCGGTTCCTGTCAGGTGATGGACTCCTCCCTGGAACTGCCCAGGGGATCCTTATGCTAACGTGTTAGGAAGGCCCCCTCCGGAGGATTTTGTACCGTCTCTAGCATTTTACACTGAATATGTGAAACAGCAGTAATGAAGTGGACGTCCTACTCACGGGCCTGAGTTTCTAAACGGGCCAGAGAGCAGCATGTGAGCATTTTGCAAGTACTTAATGGGAGTGAGTTTAAGAATAAGCCAGCGGCGCCGCCTGTAATTCCAGCACTTTGGAAGCCGAGGCGGGCAGATCACCTGAGGTCAGGAGTTCGAGATTAGCCTGGCCAACATGCTGAAACCCTGTCTCTACTAGGAGAAAAAAAAAAAAAAAAAAGAGTCAGGCGCAGTGGCAGGCGCCTGAATCCCAGCTACTTGGAAGGCTGAGGCAGGAGACTCGCTTGAACACAGGACTTGGAGGCTGCAGTGAGCCGAGATCGCACTACTGCACTCTAACCTGCGCCACAGAGGAGAATCAAAAGTTATTTCAGTTTGAGTGTGAGCCTCAGCAAGAATAGAATGCTAGCAGGAAGAAAATGACCCATACTGTCTGGATTTTACCTGGTGGGTCCAGTTTCAAATATTCTTTCTTGTCACAGTATGAATCCTGAATTTTTCATAAAATATGCGCCCCCAGACATATAAGTGGTTCTCTTGGTGCATACTAAATGCAGATAAGACTCTGTAATTGTATTTTTACAGAAAGTCATTAAATCGTCACAAAACCTCCTTGAAGGGGGTAGTACTCCATTTTATAGAATTAGAAAATGAGACACAAAAGGAGTGAATTGTCTAAGGTTACTAAAAAAATTATAAAGCCTAAAGTTAACTCCAAATCCAGCATTCTTAAAGCTGTTCCATAGCTTCCTAACCCTGCTCCATTTTGCCTCCCAATCAATTGCCAAGATTTAGCGACAAAGATAGTGTATAACCTTTAAAGAAAAATGCCACCGTCTGTTTCTTCAAAGAAAAATGCTTTGTAGATTCTGGGATGAGAGGGCCATTACCTGAGAATTAATTAGATTATGTGCTGTGTTTCAGATTGCCTGATGGTAGTAGACAAGAAGACCCTGGGCTTAAATGCCATTGAATATTTATAAAAATTAGGAAAGGCAAGTAAACAGTCCCTCCTACCAGAGATGGAAGCCTTCTTCTTGCTGATAAGGTAAGATCAATTACTCCTATTATTGAAGTAGGATTGATAAAAATATTTTGTAATTATTAATGTTGAAGAAGCATGACATAAACTGAACAGGTCTTGAAATGGTTTTTAAGCTTGTCTTTGGCACAGAATCACATGCTTATCATGAGGAGATGTTAATAGTATGGTCTGATCTTGAGTCAGGAGTGTCTGTCAGACTTGGAAGAGTAATTAATGCAAATAAGGTGGGATTATTTAAACCAAATTCAGTTGAAAGATTCTATTTCCGACTTTACCCCACTGATTGTTGATTATTCCACATTACAGAAATGAGTTCAGAATGTGTTGTAGCTGGTCTCGAACTACTGACCTCAGGTGAGCCTTCTGCCTCAACTTCTTAAAATGCCGGGATTATAGGCATGAGGTACCTTGCTCAGTTGGCATTTGCCATTTTCAAAACAATTTAAATTTTAAAAAGTACTGTACTGAAATCCAGGTTCACCTTCAGTCATGCAATACCTCTGCACTTGCCCAATCACCTTGAACTTTCTACTTCACATGTTCAAGTGAAAACTATGTACCAGGGACTACAGATTGAATCATTGGAATGCACCATGATCCAACACATCCATAATTCTGTCAGCATAATTAATCTGATTAGGCTGGGGTGGAGAAGGCAGTATATGAAAATGCTGTAACAATCAGGCCAAAGATAGCTAAGTGTTTTAAAGAAGATGTTACAGATCTTCTGAGTGCAGTAAGTTCTCAACAGGCAGATCATTAATTTGGCTTTAACCTAAGGGATAATGCAAGTTTTTTATGCAGCTCTCAAGCCAGTATGTCCATGTAATAAAGCATCCTCATGAACATCCTAGGAATTAAACTAATTTTATAGAATAACCAATCTAACAGTGGAGAATTTGGTTATTGTAATTTTTATCTGGAAATATATGTGTTTATCTTATTCTTTCTCATTTTAACTTCATCTTTTCCTCCTTTTCAAATTGGGTACCTGTCCAAACAATAGCCCTGGTGAACAGGTTATTTCTCCAACTTCTGGGTCATTTCATTCATTTTGTTCTTACTGTTCTCTTCCTTTTTTTTTTTTTTTTTTTTGAGACGGAGGCTCACTCTGTTGTTGCCCAGGCTAGAATTCAGTGGTGCAATCTTGGCTCACTGCAACCTCTTTTTTCTTTTTTTTTTTTGAGATGGAGTCTTGCTCTGTCACCCAGGCTGAAGTGCAATGGCATTATTTTGGCCCACTGCAACCTCCCTGCTAAGTTCAATTGATTTTCCCTGCCTCAGCCTCCTGAGTAGATGGGATTACAGATGTCCGCCACCACACCCGGCTAATTTATGCATTTTTAGTAGAGGCAGAGTTTTGACCGGACTGGTCTCGAACTCCTGATCTCAGGTGATCTGCCTGCCTCGGTCTCCTAAAGTGCTGGGATTACAGGCTGAGCCACCGTGCCTGGCCTGTTCTCTTCTATTCTTACTCCTTTGTATACCTTTGGTAGTTTTCTTTGTTTGAGAGTTGTATTATCTGCTGGGCACTGTTGTTCATGCCTGTAATACCAACTTTGGGAGGCCAAAGTGGGTGGATTGCTTGTGTCGAGGTATTCAAGACAAGCCTGAGCAACATGGCAAAATCCCATCTCTACCAAAAGTACAAAAGTTAGCTGGGTATGGTGGCACACCCCTGTAGTCCCAGCTACTTGGGAGACTGAAGTAGAAGGATCGCTTGAGGTCAAGGCTGCAGTGAACTGCGATCGTACCACTGCACTTCAGCCTGAGCTACAGCAAGATCCTGTTCCCTCGCTGCTCTAACAAAGAATTGTACTGTCATTATAACTAGGTTGCAGCTTCTTTTTTATCTTCATCTTGGTCTTTAGCTGTTTCCACCTTTATACCCACTGTTAATCTGACTCCACTCTACTCAGCCAACCTGGCGCCCAGCAAACATTCTTTGCTCCAGTCTGAGTGCTTTCTTCTATCTTCCTCATGGAAACTGTTCTCTTGGCCTCTGGGCTTTGGTTCATGATGTTCCTGTTAAACTGGAAAGCTTTCTCACCGCTCTAAATCCTACTCATCCTTGGGGCCCCGATTTAAGTGCCAACTTCGTAAAGTTTCCTTCACTAAAATTCACATTGATCTCTCCATTCTTGATATTTCTAACATACCAATTGTGAAAACTTCACATTTAACTTGTTCCTAACTTCTTTCTATGTCATGTTTTCTTCATGGAAGGAGGGTTGTTTTCTCAAGATCAAGGCAGTGAGTGAAGTATTTGTTTCCATAGTTTTTGCCTTCCACTAGAACCTATTATTTCACTCTGCATTCTGTAATGGCCTCCTATTAATGGGGCTATGTATTAGACTGGTCATCTTTCAAAATTTCCCTACCTCTGACTCAAAAAATACTGAAATTTTCTTGATTTTGTCTGGCATATTGGCTTGCTTTCTAGCAATTTTATGTAAACTTTCTCCCCTTTTAGAGTATTAAGTTTTGTTCATTTGTTTTGTGACAGGGTATTGGTCTATCAACCAGGCTTGAGTGCAGTGGTGCTATCAGAGTTCATGGCAGCCTTGAACTCCTGGGCTCAAACAATCCTCCCACCTCAACTTTCTCAGTAGGTAGGACTGTAGGCACACACTGCCATGCCAGACTTGCTTTTTATTAATGTTTATTTTTGTAGAAATGGGGTTTCACTATGTTGCCCAGGCTTTTCTCAAAATCCCAGCCTCAAGCGATCCTCCTGCTTCAGCCTCTCAAACTGCTGGGATTACTGGCATGAGCCACTGAGCCTGGCAAATATTACATGTTCTTTAAAGGAGAGACAGTACTTTTGCCATCTTTGTAATCTCCACAGCCCTTTAAACAGTGTCTTCAACGTGGAAGAAATTAAATATTTATTCAACAGTTTTGTTTTTTTTTTATATTCTGCAACCACTAACACAATCCAGGTCAAAAAAAAAAAAAATGCTTGTTAAATTGTGTGTTTTAGAACATAATAGTGTATAATACCAGTGAGATCTAACACTATTGAGCTATACTGTCAGCAGGGATACTTTCTGAGAATTTTTGAAGTACTAGTAATGGATATGTGCCAATCCTTTCCCCCTCTATGGATTTTCCTTCTTTAGTTTGAGTAAATACTTTTTAATACCTGCTGCGTGTCAGACATTGTCCAAGGAGCCTTAAGAGATACAGAATGCAATTTCAACCAATTCATTAAAAGTACTGACTGAGGATGTATAACAGGGCAATGAAGTTTTCAAACAGTATCACAAAGCCTGGGGTTCTGCATAATGATTTGGTATTTGGAAGGCTGAGCAGAACTGGCTGTGAACGTACTAGTCAGATAAAATTAAAACTGTTTCTGCTATTTACTTATACATGTACAAACAGACTTCAACCATAAAAACTTAGTTTTGTTTATATTTTAAAGTTTTGTACAAGATTTTATTTCAAAACAAAGCATCCTTCTGCTTTTAAAAGTTTAAAAACAAATTCAGTAGAGCAGAGCTTAACTAGTAGGCACGAAAGACTAAGATGTTGAAACCTACAGCTTTGAAATTTTATTAGGCTAATCATCAGCAATCAACCTGTTATTTGTTTTATAGGAAGGTGTTAGAGGAGCAGTCATTGAGGATGGAGATTGAAAGGTTAGGCAATACATGACATGTTTTTATCTCATAAAATTATAAGTTTCCAAACATAAAAAACCTGTGCTTGGAATTAAAACTTATACTTGGAATTAAAAAGTTGTTAATTTAGAATAAATAAATGGATGCTAAGGTGATCATTGCTATATATAAAATATTGACCAGAATTAGACTTAATAAGTGTGACAAATGTAACCATGTTAATAGCAGTTATCCTTGGAGATGGGATCACAGATAGTTTCATTCTTTGTGCTTTTTCCTAGGCCAGGTGCAGTGGTTCACACCTGTAATCCCAGCACTTTGGGAGGCCAAGGTGCGCGGATCACCTGAGGTCAGGAGTTTGAGACCAGGCTGGCCAACATGGTAAAACCCTGTCTACTAAAAATAGAAAAATTAGCTGGGTGTAGTGGTGGGCTCCTGTAATCCCAGCTACTAGGGAGGCTGAGGCTGGAGAATCACTTGAACCTAGGAGGTAGAGGTCACAGTGTGTGGAGATCACGCCATTGCACTAAAGTCTAGATGACAAAAGCTATACTCTGTCTCAAAAAAGAAAAAGAAGCAAGAGATAGTCTAGTCCAAAATCATTATTTAACTATTTCTGATGTGAGATCACTGGCAGTAGGCACATAAGTATCAAGGGGCTTTAATGATTTGTAATGGTGCTTTTTAAACTACATTTCATGGAATGCTGTGATTCCTCAGGGATTACTCAAGAACCAACATGGAACAGAAGAGATAGATGCAGGGAATGTGGCTTAAGGCCTCTGCTGAAGAAGCTCAGCTTTCTTGTTCATATCTATAAATATATCTGTTGGAGAACAGATTGACTGTTTTGTTTTGTTTTTGTTTTTGTTTTTCCTGTTCTGGTGAAAGCTAGTGTCAAAAAGTCACCTTGGGCTACCCATGTTCAAAATGGTGGAATAGCAACACCAAGTTCCTGTCCCTCAAGCACAGCAGCATTGAAAAACAAGGAAAAGTCTGAAATAACTTTGTCAGAATGCTGGAAAACAGTCAAAAGTTTACAACAACCAAGAAAATGCTGAATCAAAATATATGAAGTAGATATTGACAGAATTGAAGGGGGAATAGACAGTTCTACAAAAATTTTTGGAAACTTTAATACTTCACTTTTTCATGGGTGGAACATTTAGACAGAAGACCAGTAAGAAAATAGAGGGCTTGAACAACACTGTAAACCAGCTATACCTAGCAGACACATGTGGAACTCCACCCAACAGCAGCAAAATACCCCGTCTTATCAAGTATACATGAAACATTCTCCAGGATATATCATATATTAAGGCATAAAAGAAATTTTAATGAAGTTTTATAAGTTAAGTCAGAAATGTCTCTGATAACAATGAAATGATGTTAGAAGTTAATAACAGAAGGAAAACCGGAAAATTCACAAATATGTGGAAACTTAACACATTCTTAAACAACCAGTAGTTCAAAAAGGGTATCACAAAGGAAATTAGAAAATACTTGAGAGACAAAAGAAAATGAAAATACAACATATGAAAACTTACAGATTGCAGTGAAGACAATGTGTAATTATAAATGCCTACCTTAAAAAAGAAAGATGTCAAATCAACCTAACTTTACACCATAAGGAAATAGAAAATGGAGAGCAAATAAACTCAAAGCTATCAGAAGACAGGAAACAATAAAGATTAGAGCAGAGATAGATGAAATAGTGAATACAAAACCCATAAAGGGGGCCAGGCGCGGTGGCTCACGCCTGTAATCCCAGGATTTTGGGAGACCGAGACGGGTGGATCATGAGGTCAAGAGATCGAGACCATCCTGGTCAACATGGTGAAACCCCGTCTCTACTAAAAATACAAAAAATTAACTGGGCATGGTGGCGCACGCCTGTAGTCCCAGCTACTCGGGAGGCTGAGGCAGGAGAATTGTCTGAACCCAGGAGGCGGAGGTTGCGGTGAGCCGAGATTGCGCCATTGCACTCCAGCCTGGGTAACAAGAGGGAAACTCCGTCTCAAAAAAAAGAAAACCCATACAGGGAATCTGTGAAACCAAAAGTTGGTTATTTGAAAAGGTCAACAAAATTGACAAACCTTTAGCTACACACACAATAAAGTGAGAAGACACAAATAACTAAATCATGAACGAACATGTAGATATTACCACCAAACTTACAGAAATAAAAAGAATTATAAGGGGATACTACGATCAATTGTATGTCAACAAATTAGATAACTTAGATGAATAGAAAAGCTGAACAGACCTATAACAAGTAAAAAGATTCAATCAGTAATCAAAACGTTCCAACAAAGAAAAGTCCAGGATTAGATCACTTCTCTGGTGAATTCTATCAAACATTTAAAAAGAATTAATACTATTTTTTTCAAACTCTCCCCAAAAAATAGAACTGAGGAAACACTCTCTTTCTATGAAGCCAGCACATTGATACCAAGGCAGATAATGACACAAGAAAAGAAAATTACAGGTATTTGCTCACCCATGTTTATAGCAGCACTATTCACAATAGCCAAGAGGTGGAAGCAACCCAAATGTCCATCAACAGGTGAATGGATAAAAAAATGTGTTATGTACATACAATGGAATATCATTCAGCCTTAAGAGAAAGGAAATCCTGTCAAATGCTGCAACATGGATGAGCCTTGAGATCATTATGCTAAGTGAAATAAGCCAGTGACAGGCAAATACTATATGATTCTACTTACAGGAGGTATCTTTAGTAGTCAAATTCCCAGAAGCAGTAAGTCGAGTGGTGCTTAGCAGGGGCTGGGGGACAGAGGAAAAATGCCAGTTGTTTAATAGGCATAGAATTATAGTTTTGCAAGATAGAAACGTTTTGGAGATCTGTTTCACAACTTTGTGAATATGTTTGACACTACTAAATTGTACTTTTGAAAATGGTTAATATGATAAGTTTTCTGTTATGTGCCTTTACTGCAATAAATAATGCAGACCAGTATCCATTATGAATATAGATACAAAAATTCTCAAAAACAGCTGGGCACAATGGCTCATGCCTTTAATCCCAGCACTATGGGAGGCCAAGGTAGGTGGCTCATGAAGTCAGGAGTTCAAAACCGGCCTGACCAAGATGTGAAACCCCATCTCTACTAAAAATACAAAAATTAGGCATGCACGGTGGCAGGTGCCTGTAATCCCAGCTACTGGGGAGGCTAAGACAGGAAGGTTGACTGAACCCAGGTGGCAAAGGTTGCAGTGAGCCACTGCACTCCAGCCTTGGTGGCAGAGTGAGACTTGTCTCAAAAAAAAAAAAAAAAATGCTCAAAAAGTACTAGCAAATCCAAACTAACAGCATTTTATTTTATTTTATTTTGTTATTTTTTTTTTTTTATAGAGACAGGGTTTCACCCTGTTAGCCAGAATGGTCTTGGATGCCTGACCTAGTAATCTGCCTGCTTTGGCCTACTAAAGTGCTGGGATTAAAAGCATGAGCCACTGTGCCTGGCTACCAACTGCATTTGAAAAGGATCATATACTGTTATCACGTGAGATTTATCCCAGGAATGCAAGTGTAGCTCGACATAAGAAAGTCAATTAGTATAGTATGCCACGTTAGTAAAACAAAGGGAAAAAAGGCGATCATTTCATTTCAATTGAGCAGAATAGGCATTTGGTGAAATCTAATACCCTTGCCTAATAAAAACGCTCAGAAAACTGGGAATAGAAGGGAACTTCCTCAACTTGATAAAGGGTATAATGAAAAACCCACAGCTAATATCAAACAACAACAAAAGAGATAAATTAGACTTCATCAAAATTAAAAACTTTTGGGCATCAAAGAACATTATAAAGAAAGTAAGAAGACAGTTTATAGAATGGGAGAAATTTTCGTAAGTCATATATCTGATAAAGATTTAATACACAAAATATATAAAGAACTTCTACAACTCCACAACAAAAAGACAACCCAGTTAAAAAGGGACTGATAAAGGACTTGAACAGTCATTTCTCCAAAGAAGATACACAAATAGCCAACATGCAGTTGAAAATATGCTCCATACCATATTTCTCATTAGGGAAATGCAAATCAAAATCACAATGAGATACCACTTCACATCTACTAGGATGGCAATAATAATATAATAATACAGAAAATAACAAGTGTTGGCAAGGATGTGGGAAAACTTAAATCCTTTAACATTGCTGGTGGGAATGTAAAATGATGCAGCCATTATGGAAAGTAATTTAGAGGCTTCTCAGAAAGTTAAAGAAGAACCATATGACTTTGCAATTCTGCTTCTAGGTATATAACCCAAATAGTTTAAAACAAAGACTCAGATAGTTGTACACCAAGTACACACCAATTATGCTGTTTCATCGCAGCACTATTAGCAATAGCCAAAAAGTGGAAACAACTCAACTGTCCGTAAATGGATGGATAAACACAATGTAGTTATACACATAACTAATTATTACTCAGCTATAAAAAGGAATGAAGTATTGATATGTGCTACAACATGGATGAGTCTTGAAATAATGCTAAGTGTTAATGTTTGAAAAAGTGCTAAATAAAATAAGCATTTCATTTAAGCCAGATACGAGTAAAAAGACAGTCTATAGAATGGAAGAAAATATGTGATTTTTCAGGATATTGGGAGATGGGGGCAACTGGGTGTTATTGCTTAATGGAAAGGTTCTGTTTGTGGTTATAACAAAATTTTGGAAACAGATGGTGTGATGATTACACAACATTGTGACTATAATTGTCACTGAATTGATATATAAAGTCATTAAAATGGCAAATTATATATTATATGTATCTTACCACAGTAAAAGAGCCCCCCCCACCCCAAAAGAAAAGAATATTAATACTTGACAGTCTTCACCTTCCCCACAACAAAAAGTCACACTGGTCTTCTTTAGGGGACTAAATCAACCTTAAAGTTCTAAAACAGATCATTCTTGTAATTTATTAAATTGGACTCTCTGGAAGCAATCAGGGTAGCAGTTCTTAAGTAAATAATTTTCTTTATGTA